AAATATATATATATAAAGTTATAAATACAAATATAATTATATTAAATATCTGTAATCGTTTCGTAATCGCATTATATCAAAGACTCTGATAAATTGCGCGATCGTACAATAAATAACATATAATGTCATCTATTCCGCCAAATAAGGTAGGTAGTAGGCATTTAATTGGGTATTTAATTAGTGTGAGAGAGAACGAAAGAGTAGAAAAAAAAGAGTAAGTGAGAGAGAAATTTAGATGGCGTTACTGGCCAACTTACTTATTTCGCGCATGCGCACTCCGTTTTGGCCAACACAAAATCGGGAGAGTTGCGCTACTATACTGTGTTAATACTATTTCCTACCAACAATGAAAAGCACGATCGTCACAGTGATGCTGATGATAATAATCCTCGATTTCACATTCTGCAGCCACGCTTTTCGTTGTGCTCTCCTCGCGGCTTCCCTAAACTCGTTACCGGTCATATTCAGACGATCGCTCGCTTCCTGCAAATCCTCCAGCTTCTCGCCACGATCCATCACTTTTTGGACATTATCCCGCATTATATCTGCCACCCCCTGGATTTGCAGCTTGACGCTTTAAATAAAACAGATATTTATCAATCGTTTGCACTGATAATTGCACATATCACACTCAAAATTAAATAATTTAAAATTAAAATTAAACATTGCATTTCAATTCAAAAATAAGCATATTGTAAATATAATAGTAAAGTATGTTTATAATAATAAATATAGTTCAATTAGATCGCTAGAAAGACAAATTATTTTATTCTAATTTAAAGTAATTTATATATATATTCTATTTGAGAATATTTTAATTTTAGAAAATATATATTTTCTTCGCTTTCTATTTAAATATACTTATTTCAATCCTTAAAATGTGAAAAGTATATTATCGCTGACCTATCCATTTTATTGTCGACTTTTTTCTTTCCATTTGATGTGCTCGGCTGACTGTAATTGTATATCATACATTAGTACATACAAATATATTGCAACAACTTTCAAAAAAATATGATAAGAGCCAAATTTATCAGAGGTAATGCTTTAATAAACAAAAAAGTACATTTATAATCAAATTAATAACTTATATTAAAATTGAAAACGAAAATAAAAGTAGTACTTAATATCAACTGTATAATAATTATTATTTTGCCAAACAGACATTTCTATTAATTTTTGTAGCTTTTTACAAAAATTGGCTCTTATAACACTTTTACAGAAATGATTTTAATTAATCACAAGTAATTATAAATTAAATTTTCTATCTTACGTAAATAACATTTCCTCATCGTAATCGCTGTCATGCTCCAATAGCGTCTCCTGCGAAACAATAGCACAAACATATGTCAAATTTCCCGCCAAATATGCCGACATTTCAAGGTATTGCGTGTTCTTCGTGCACGCCGATACAGTGACAAAGGATACTCACTTTTTCATCTTTATTTGCAGCTTCGACGTCCTCTTTATTTAAGTTGGGTTTACCGGACGACAACATGACCTCAGGAAAATAGACCCACGTGTCATACACGGACTACAAATAATCGATTCGCACAACTAAATGATTTCTTTCACCGTTCAGAATTTAACCATCCACGAATACTCAGCCATTTTGACAGAAACCATTCTGTTTTACCGGCGCTTTGTAACAATACAATATACTACAGCAGAGAAGTATCTTGTAAAGGAAAATTTACATATACAATAAAGAATAAAATGACAACATGTTCTTAGCAAAATAAGTTTACGCATTATATATATAAGCTGCAAATAATCGATTTTCAAATTTAAATGATTTCTTTTACTGTTCAGAATTGAACTGTCTATGGATACTCAGTCATTTTAACAGAAACCATCCTGTTCGACCGGTTTCGTGACAAGTACAATCAGACAGTGCATAGACTGTAAATCAATATAGGAGAAGACAATATCTCTCATGGAACAGTTTATATATATAAAAAAAAAATTATTTTCTAGTAATATTCTCAAACATACATTTTATATTAAATATATCCAATAATTTTAATACACTTTTAATTTAAAATATATTTTATTTTATAATACAATACACACTAATTCTTGAAATGATATGATAAATAAATATTTAAGATTTTTTTTCAACACACAGGTTTTATATTAAGTTTAAAAAAATAATTGTATTATTTTTGGCATGTTGCTTTTATTTCGAACATTTATATTCAATTACAGAAAAATACATAGTATATGCGCAAACAATTAAAAAAAATATTGATTGTCGTATAGACGTGCAGGGGTTCGCAAAAAGCATCACAGTACAATTAACAAATATTTTATAAATCTCTTGTACATCCAATTAAGATTTTGAAATAATTAAAACAACTACAATAGAGAGGAAAGTATAATAATATATAATTTCCATAAAATTAATGTGTATTTTTGTTATTATAAATAAATAGTTTTTGTATTTATATATAAAGAGAGAACAGAAGACATAAATAATTATAAAACTTTGATATATTTGTCAAAATTATAAATTATACTATTATTTAAACTGTATTTTTAAAAATTAAACGATATCGATATTTGTATATATCCGCGTCAAGTTACAAAAATGTTATAATTTCCCCACGCACATATTCGGAAATTTTCTTAATATAGAAACATTTTTTTAGAGTAAAAATCGCGTACCTCAACATGTAAATATTAGATCACATTAAAGATAGAGAGCGCGAATATATATATTTATACATAATTTTATAAAAATAGACGAGCTTTGGCGGGGGTATCTTTGTCGCTGAGGTATGCTTATTAGTTTTAAGTTCGTAAAATGACGAATGATACGTGTTTCGATATTATTGATTTACATTGATCTGTTACTCTTATGGCTCTCCTCGGAAAGGACTGGTACATTTTGCAAGATTGCACACACTGTTTTAAATTCCACCGGAAATTGGAAACCAACCTTCGCTTTTATATCAACGTATGCATTCACTTCAATCGAGTTTTCCTCTCTTACCATACGATACAATACTGTACTGTATAGATAATTTTCCATTCGCATGAATAATACGTTCTCAAAAACTACCGTGTGAATTCATATCACATAAATAAAAGTTCGTATAAAATCGCACAAAGCATACCTTGTATATTTTATTGGAAAAAATTTAAGACATTTTTACAAAGCTAGTTTAATAACTGAAAAAATAAAAATATATATTTTTAAATAAAAGAAAAAAACATAGATTTAAAATAGATAAAAAGAGAACAGTTAATTTAAAGATTTTTATTATTTACGTAGAGAAAGATAAAATAATATAAAATTACAGTATTACCTTTTTGCACAATTTGTAAAACGTATTATCCATGCAAAGTGATAATTATCTAGAAAATTCCTCGTATACGCTCTTATATAAATATATGTTCAGTCGATACGTAATCGAAATAGTAATCCGAAAAGAAGCACGACAGATAAACAGACAGAACACATAAACTTGAAGCCGAAGCCACGCAGTGGCAATAACTTCTCGTTATAACACTCGCATATCGGTCTATAACTACTTCCATACATATTTAAAAAATGAGAGAAGGTTCTTGATAAGGATAGTCAGGTGAACCGATATGTGTAGCACCGTTTTCCAGCGTGATTCTTCGATGCGCACCGTATTATCGCGACGCAGATATAAATACATTACGCTTATCTCAAAATAATATTTACTCAGATATGATAACCGGGATGTCTACATATGTATGTACGTATACGTATATAATTAGGTGTGTACTCATCAGAGACACCTCGGTCTCCAATTCCATTTTTATACGACTTTAGGCCGCGTCTACTTGAACGTATTGTTTTCCGTCAACAAGCGTGACGAATGATGTAAATTACGCGTTGGAACAGACGTTCATCTCAAGAGGAAGATAAAAAGCAATGTCTCATCGATAAATCGACATCGCTCTGATAGCCCGAAACGTTCCAAATTCGCAAATCTTTACATCTAATTGTAAGTAGAGAAATCCGATAGATAAACTTTGCATAATGTTTGGTGCAGTCGAAAAACGATTTTTAGCGTGCTCTCTGTTAGAATAACAGGCTAAATTCATTTTGCGCACCGATATACAAATATATACGTAGCTTATAAATTAAATTGAAAATTTGCAAGAGCGATTAGAAATACAGTCTTATGAACGATTCTTGTAGAAGTAAATCTTAAACATTACACTGTTTTAGTACTAATCTATAGAACCGATTAATTCGAAATTTTAATGACGATGGAGACTTGCCTCTCACTTAGTTACAATAGAAATATAGATAATTCTTAGGAGTTATATAGTATTAGATGAATATGAAGATAAAATTAAAAAAAGATAGAATATACATATTTTATAGGAATTGACAAGAATGCATTTACATTCGCTCATATATTTAAGATTTAAAATAACTTAATTCTTTAATTGCTAGAAAATATCATGGAAAAATTAATTTTTGCGAATAATTGTGTAATTTTCTAATTAATACTCGAATAGTTCGAGTGATAATACATTGAAAAACAATATTGATTCTCTTCTGTTACTCTCTCTCTCTCTCTCTCTCTTTCAAATATGAATAAAAAAGATAGTACACATTAGAGTCCTAGATAATCTAGGACTCTAGTATACATAAAATTATAAAAATATTAAAAGGAACAATTTAGAAGCGCACATTTTTCCTGATAATCTATATCTGCAAACACCATTATTTTTACTTTCCTATAATAATTGAAATTATGGCAATTAATGCTAACTACAATGTTAGTGCTTAATGATGAAAAATACAGGCAGCACTTTAAATTTGTTGAAGTGTGTTACAACTTTAGTTAAGCTAATTCCGATTAGCTATTCCTATCTAAGTTACAACCGTAGCTGTAAATATACGGATGTACGTAGGCAGAGAATGAAAATTTATTTAGGTAATGCAGCAAGTTAAGAGATAATGCAGTAAGAATGTCAAATCTGACATTTAACATTGTGTTCCACCGATAAACAGTACTTTATTCTATATGAGACGTATCGTTATATATGTATATGTAGATATTACAATAAATTACGTTTTATAAAGTGAAAAGACGACCAGCGTCGCGAACGGACGAATCCTGCGTCCAGTGTAATAAAATGACATACATATACGTGATTTAGAACAATTATTGAATATCGTATGATCGTATAATGTTGCCATCAACAATAAAGTGATTTTTATTTCATTCCTTTATCCCTTAAGATTTAATTTCATGATCGATTATGTGGTGGACGACATCATTTTGCAAAGATCTAAAAAAAAATTTGTTTTTTTTTCCTTTTACAAAGCGCTGTATGTAATTATATATTTTGATTTATTTGTAATTGTAGTTTGAATATAATTCTGTCATAATGTTTATTCTATTTCGAATTAATATTGAGGCATTTATGTACAAATAATAATAAATTATATTTCCGAGTTAAATATTTAAAAACCAAGTTATATAATGGCCAAAATAATATTTGCAAATATCATTTATCATTATTTAAACTCTCTAATTTCTCACTTATTTTGAAAGTCCATATTTTTATTTCTGCGATCTCCAATATTCAACGAACAATAGCATGCGTATAAATATTTTGAAAAAATTGCATATAAATATTTTGAAAAATTGTAATTGTCGTGGTCGTCGTTATTATTGCGATGCATTTATTTTCAAATATTTGGAAATGGAAATTTCAATGTGTATAACTTAATGTGATAAACTTTTTATGCTAATTAATTTTTTTAATATATTCCATACTGCATACACGCAATTATTGCATATAAACTTTCTACAATTATTTCGCATTTACAGAAAAAGACGCGTTTCGCGATAACAAAATTAAATTCTAATAAATTATAATAATTCAAAGATTCACGCTATTATCTGAATTAAAAATAAATTAGCTTTTTTTATGGAACAACACTCAATTTTGTGGAGCATTAACTTTTTTTCTTATTGTAATCTCATCAATCTCGCGTTTTAGGTAAAATCTTGTTTTGGGATATCGAGGAATATTTGGCCAGCAATCGTGTCGTTCACACAAAGGCGGCTTTATTCACAAAACGCAATTATCGAAGTGCCGCACTGTAAGCGCCGATCCCATCTGTGCGTGGGATCGAACGCATATACGACTCATTAGACTCTAAATAATCAAATCGCTGCATTGCAGAGTGACGGCACATCAGTTTTACCTGCACTGCCATTCATCTCGCGCCCGAACGGAGTAGATCTTGTCTAAGATCGTTAATCTTAAATTCTAATTTCTAGATCACGCGCGCGCATGCACACAATCTCACACGCACATACACGCATGTTGCGGGGTCTTATTCTTGTAATCATGATAACGTATATTGGGGCTCGGTATCCACTTCGTGCTCAATCCGCTCTTACCTGTTACTCTCATACTGTCAACTATATGAGCACGTACGAGAAGAGAAAACGAGACGGCGAAGGTTGAGAGCCCATTTAATCCTTTAATCAGGTATATCCACCTGTAGCCTTTTTCCTGTCGAAGCACGTTTCCAAGGGATACATTGCTTGGATGAGTTTTACAAGGCTTAGTATATTTATATGTATGTGTTAATTAGTAATTTATTAAATCCATCACGGAGACTCATTTCTCTTTGCAAAAAATATTAGATAGTAAAAGAATTAATCCTATTGTCATTATCGTATTAAAAAATAATGATATAAAATTAATATAATTATATTTAATGAAATTTAAAGAATGTTTAAAAAATAACAAGAATATGCAATATTTATTTTTCTGTATCCCTTCATTGTTCGTTATTTCATTTTAATGCCCGATTCATAGAAAAATTTAAAAAAAAAGTTAATGATATACGGAACAAAGTTTTGCATGCGTTTGAAATCAATGCGAATTAATACTCTGCAATATAAAGATGCATCGGATAATGCCAGAGATCTATTGCAAAAACGCGTTGCAAGAACAAAGATTTGAATAAAACGTCGAACATAGAATACGTAGGTCGTAACAACGACTCGTTACCGGAATACATAATCAGTACGCAAGCCGTAAAATCGTTACGACCTCCTGACTGAAAAAGTCTTGTCCAAGTTGAAGTGACATAAACCTCATAATGTCCGCGTGGATAAGAAAAAATGAAAATATTATGCAACACCCTCGCAGAGAAGTGTCGCATTCACCTTCTCGATCTCAATTACCGTTCGTGCTTTCGCTCGAGAAACATTCCTCGATCGTAAAAGGGATCCCTTCCCGCCATTCCT